CCAGCTCAGATGAAATATATGTCAGATATGAAGATAGAAATTATTCTAGACATTGAAACACATTCCTACAGCTTGATTGGCATTTTTTCATATAAGAGATCAGATGATTTTTCCAGCAAAAAGCAGAAAACTGCAGTATATTGTACTACTGAAAATGACAGGGATAGAAATTGAGTAAATATATATGTCAATGTGTGTGATGAAAACCTACGTTTATTTAATATTTTTTCACATTCCTCTTTGTTAGAAAGATCATAAATATTTTTATAAGTGTTGGTATTTAAATAACATTTTATGCTTCATTATTTTAAAGAGCATTTAATATAACTGAGTTTTTTTTTAAAAAAAGGAAACTCATTTGATTTCATGTAAAGCACTTCTTTCCTATGTGTTTTGAATTACTGAATTTTAATCCCCCAATTGGTCATCAAGAAGCATTACAGCAGGTGGCAGAAATAGGAATATCTTGCCTAATACAAGCATTCTTACAGATTTATTATTTTCACCAAATTAATTGCCTGTCTTGATGCTGAGGCTCCTTATAAGCATAAATCCTTTCCTGTTCCCCCAAATAATTTAAAAATATGTAGAAATACTAGTCAGTGAAAGAGGAGACATCCAAGTCATTTTAACAGATTGCTTCAACATGAAATATCCTCACTATGGCCATCTGACTTCAGCAGCGTCTCTTTTGGCCTGCCAAGAGTATTCCGTGAAGTAACCAGTTGATGCCAGGAATTAGCAAAAAGAAAACCAGTTAAAAGAAAGAAGTCTTTTTTTAAAAAAAAAAAAAACGTTTTCAGTGGAGCCTAATTGAGGGCAGTAGTCTGTTCTATGGGAACAGAGCACCCTAGAAGGACAACAGAAGAATTGGCCTTAGAATACCACATTGGGAATGCAGTTTTTTCAAGGGTGTTTTATTCTGGAGAATACAAAACACAATACTCTTGGGGAGTATGAGGAGGGGAGGGGAGGTTGGGATGATTCTTAAAAAGCTAAAAAGGGAGTGCCTTTAATGCGCCCAAGATGAAGCAGGGCAGGCTGAAAGGAGGAGAGTAAGAATGGGTGGTTGAATTGCATAATCTTCATTCACATCTCAACAATTTGAGCCCAGTACACCTGGATGATATTTCTCATAATATAATCTTCTGGTACAGCTGGCTGTTAGTGTTGCATTCCGCCGGCAGGCTGTGCAGACGACGGCGGAATCGGACAGTGGGAAGAAAGGGCATCAGCCTGGGAGTCTGGAGAGGACTCGGACGAGGGTCCTGTGTCTGATGCAGAGATGGGGCCAGGACCATCTGGGAGCGGGGTGCTGCCTCTGGAGCTCCGGACTCTGGCAGCAGTGAGACAGAGGACCCAGGGGAGCCTGTTCCCAGTGCGCGTGTGCGTAGAGCTGCTAGAGGCGAGAGCAGCTGAAACAAAAGGGGCAACTCGGGAGTAAGGCTGGGATGTGATTGACCCTCCCATAAGGTATAAAGGACAGGCAAAGAGGGCGAAACCTTTGCAAGAAGCAAAATTGTTCGTTCAGATTCATTCTTGAAGCTTCTTTGTACTTCAGTTGGTTTTTTTTTCTAGTTCATTGGACACTTCAGTTATTGCAGCACTTCACAAAAAAGAAAGGTGGGTGCTTACCTCGAGGGACTGTTTGAGATTCATTACCAGCTAGGAATGAAAATAATTCCCAATGTTGCAATTAAACAAGACTTGTTTTTAAAATAAGCGTGTGCATAATTACGGTCTCAGAAGCCTTGGTCAGAACAGTTTGAACTTCTGTGTTACTGTGAAACAGATACATATTTTTAATAGGAAGCTTGCAAGTTTTCATTCAACAGATTTCTATATATTAAGGATTATACAAGGTAGATAGAAGGTCCATACAGAGAGTGGTAAGAACAGCCGAGAAGATGATAGGAAACTCACTCCCTGTTATTCAGGATACTCTTTACAAGCGCTATGTGCTTAGAGCCCGAAGTGCTGTTAGAGATCCCATACACCCACTTCATAGCCTGTTTCTGTTGCTCCCCTCTGGGAGGAGGTTTCAAAGTATTTCTAGCAGGACTACCATATTCTATAATTGCTTTGTTCCCTATGCCATTCATCTGGTAAACTCACGAGATTCGTTTTTCTCACCGTGTACATGTATACATCGGAACTAGACTGTGTGGTTTCTCTGTGTTATATAATAATATATGTGGGTACGTGAGCATATGAATAATTTTTTATTTATTTGTTTATTTGTTTTCATGTTTATGTAGTGTATATTGAAGGTGTTGACCTTTTGAGAGCTGTATGCAACAAAATTTCATTTTAATACATGCCTAGTGTACATTTAAAGTGGCAAAAATTTATTCTAAGTCTATTGTATGAAAAGGAAAATTGCAACGCAGGTAGTCCTTGACTTATAGCAATTTGTTTAGTGATTGTTCGAAATTACAGTGCTACTGAAAAAAAGTGACATTACCGTTTTTCACACTTACGACCATGGCAGCATCCCCATAGTCACATGATCAAAATCCAGACATTTGGCAACTGGTTAATAATGGTTGCAGTGTCCCAAGGTCATGTGCTCACCCTTTGTGACTGCCTGACAAGCAGAGTCATTGGGGAAGTCAGATTCACATCAGCCGTATCACTAACTTAACAACTGCAGTGATTCACTTAACAACTGTGGCAAGAAAGGTCATAAAATGGGGCAAAATTCACTTGACAAATGTGTCACTTAACAATAGAAATGTTGGACTCAATTGTGGTCCTAAGTCGAGGACAACCTATAGTTTAAAACTGGTATATTTCAGCCAAATACTAACCATGGTTAGGAAAGGAGAATGTGGGAGACAAATTTCAATGCTGACCTATCTTACACCGCTTGGAAATCCCAGTCTGAGGTAGCCTGGTTTAAAATGCTGTCTAAATATGGCCATACTAATTCTGAATGGAGAAATTTTGCATTTAATTAAATTAATACTCTAAGCCATCTGTAAAGTGTAAAGAGCATGGCAACCCAAAGTCGATTAAAAAGATGGTCCATGTCCATGTCATGTTTTTGAAAAGGGTGTTTTGATGAAGACAGCTATGATCAAATTACCTGAGCTGGAAAATGCAGAATTAAAACATTCCGAATGAAGAAGAATCTTCATTCGGGACTGATTTCTGATATCAGAATACTTCCTCACTTGGATACTTAACACTAATATGTTAGGGCGAAACCTCTTGTTAATTTGTTAGAACTCTCCATCCCAGCAGTCTGAAGTAAAGAACAGTTGCTCATTTGCCTATTTCTGAAAATGTTTTCATCTGGTTTTAGAATGCTGATCAGGGGTGGGATTCTACAGGTTCGGACCTATTTGCTAGAACCAGTTGTTGACATTCTAAGCAGTTTGGAGAACCGGTTGTTAGAAGAAATTACTGGCCTAATCCTGTAAGGAAGGCAGGAAGGAAACATTCTGGTGTTGCTTACAGAAACTGCCTCTCCATTGCCTCTTGTTACATTCTTGGCAGGACTAGATTTCCTGTCTCTGGAACGTCTGTGGAGTTTTTTTTCCTCCTTTGCTGGTACTTTGCTTGTGTGCCATGACCATTCAAAGTTACAATGGCACTAAAAAAATGACTTATGACCGTTTTTCACACTTACGACTGTTGCAGCATTCCCACAATCACGAGAGGCTAGGCGAGGAGATGCTGCCTCGATGTGAGTAATGTTGAGTTGGCCACGCCCAGCCAGTCACATGACCACCAAGCTATGCCCACCAACTAAGCCATGCCCACAGAACTGGTTGTTAAAAAAATTGAATCCCACCCCTGATGCTGATGACTTGGAAGTCTATGGTATGGTTAATATCCACCTCTTTGTCAACACACTGATATCTGAATTTGATTCTGAGAAGAAAGCTGAAAGAAGAAATGTAGTTGAGATTTCTATTTGAAGAGTTTATGACATCTTTTTTTTAAATATAAATTTATGATTGAATGTTTTAAAAACAAGAGTAAAAATTAATACAAACTACCCGGAAAGTAGAATAAGAAAAGAAAAAAGAAATAAAGGAAAAAGCTTAAGTGCAAAACAAACAAACAATAGAAGAATAAAAAAAGAAAGAAAAGAGATATAATGAAGTGGCTTCCATTCTTCTGTACATCAGTTATAACCAAGGATGGGATTCAATTTTTTTAACAGCCGGTTCTATGGGCATGGCTTAGTTGGGGGGCATGGCTTGGTGGTCATGTGACTGGCTGGGTGTGGCCAATTCAACATCACTCACATCGAGGCACGCATATCCTTGCCTGGCCTCTCATGACTGTGGGGATGCTGCAACAGTCGTAAGTGTGAAAAATGGTCATAAGTCACTTTTTTCAGTGCCATTGTAATTTTGAATGGTTACTCCACACAAGCAAAGGAGGGGAAAAAAACTCCAGAGATGTTCCTGAGACAGGAAGTCTAGTCCTGCCAAGAATGTAATAAGGGTTAATGGAGAGGCAGTTTCTGTAAGCAACACCAGAATGTTTCCTTCCTGCCTTCCTTACAGGATTAGGCCAGTAATTTCTTCTAACAACCAGTTCTCTGAACTGATTAGAATGTTAACAACTGGTTCTAGCAAATAGGTCCGAACCTGTAGAATTCCACCCCTGGCTATAACTGTAAATTTAACCTCTTTCTCGAATGTTACAAGACTCCTCTTACTATAATTTATCCTATCTAATTGTTAAAACCATAGATAATAAATTCATTTTTTAAAAATTTTACACAAAAAGTCCATAAGGGATTTTGAGTTTTGAAACATCTGATGATAGACCAAGACTTTTCAAAATCTGTTTTCCCAAAGAACCATCTACAATCTGAATTATTGCTTGCTAATGTGTAGCATCTCTTTATTCATATGTCTGTTCATATGGCATAGATTCATGTTTCATCATTTTCAAGAGGTTTGATTCCTGAACTTCCACAGAAGTTTTATCTCATCTTTCTTTTACCTTATCTTTCTTTGTATGTTTTTTTTCATTAGATGTGGAGCAAATGGCTATCGACTGGCTTACTGGCAACTTCTACTTTGTGGATGACATTGATGACCGGATATTTGTCTGCAACAAGAGCGGGGTCACCTGTGTTACGCTGCTTGACTCAGAACTCTACAATCCTAAAGGCATAGCACTGGATCCAACAATGGGGTAAGAATCCATATATGTACTTTTATATGAAAGTTTAATTGGTTTCCTCCTTTGTTTTTTCTCCTGGATCCCAGAGTTCCTAAATGCCTTTTAGTCTGTTGGTTAATGATATCAAATGCCAGTTTAGTCCAAATTAAAACTTTTTGAATCCTGATTTACTTGCAGATGAGGGGTCTGGCTTGGTATGCCAACTGATATTTGGGTAGAGGAACAGGAAGTCAGTCTTCCCACTGACTTCCTACCACCAAGTTAGACTTGTGAGCTGAGAGCATACTAGAGCATTCACCAAATATTTAAAAGGGACTTCTCCACCAAATAAAAAAAGGGAAAAAAGTGTGCAATTTTATTTCAAGGTCTGTTATTATTCTATCATTAATATTTACCAACAAAATGCTAAATGGCTTGAGAGTATCTCATTCTTTATTTCTGTCTCGGCATCCTGTGATCTTCATCAAGGATTCTTTGTTAGTTAATTTTGTCAAACGAGGCAAGGCAGATGGCTGAAAGAAAGAGATTTTAATGGTGGTATAGAATGGAGTCTTTTTCTCCACTGCTAGTTGCCATAGAAGAAATTGTTAACATTTTCTTTTGGCATTATGAAAATGCTTTTATTGTAATGTTTTATTGTGATTTTACCTCTCTTACGGTTTTCTTTGTTGGGTTTTGTCTTGTTTAGCTTTATATGATATATTTCTCATTGATGTACATCACTTAAAGAAACTATGGAACTGCTTGCAGCATTTAGCTGACCTTGACTGATCTTAAAAAGTACAGGTGAAACTCGAAAAATTAGAATATCGTGCAAAAGTTCATTTATTTCAGTAATGCAACTTAAAAGGTGAAACTAATATATGAGATAGACTCATTACATGCAAAGCAAGATAGTTCAAGCTGTGATTTGTCATAATTGTGATGATTAAAGCTCATGAAAATCCACAATCTCAGAAAATTAGAATATTACATGCAATCAATAAAAAAAGGATTGTACATAGAATAATGTTGGACCTCTGAAAAGTATAAGCATACATATGTACTCAGTACTTGATTTGGGCCCCTTTTGCAGCAGTTATTGCCTCAATGTGGCATGGCATGGAAGCTATCAGCCTGTGGCACTGCTGAGGTGTTATGGAAGACCAGGATGCTTCAATAGCAGCCTTCAGCTCTTCTTCATTGTTCAGTCTCATGTCTCTCATCTTTCTCTTGGCAATGTCCCATAGATTCTCTATGGGGTTCAGGTCAGGCAAGTTTGCTGGCCAATCAAGCACAGTAATCCTACGGTCATTGAACCAGGTTTTGGTGCTTTGGGCAGTGTGGGCAGGTGCTGAGTCCTGCTAGAAAATGAAGTCCGCATCCCCATAAAGCTTGTCTGTTGAAGGAAGCATGAAGTGCTCCAAAATCTCCTGGCAGATGGCTGCGTTGACCCTGGACTTGAAGCACAGTGGACCAACACCAGCAGATGACATGGCTCCCCAAATCAACACAGACTGTGGAAACTTCACACTGGACTTCAAGCATCTTGCAGTGTGCGCCTCTCCATTCTTCCTCCAGACTCTGGATCCTTGGTTTCCAAATGAGATGCAAAAGTTGCTCTCGTCAGAAAAGAGGACTTTGGACCACTGAGCAACAGACCAGGTCTGTTTTTCTTCAGCTCAGGAGCGGCTTGACAAGAGGAATATGACATTTGAAGCCCATGTCCAGGATCCGTCTGTGTGTGGTGGCTCTTGATGCACTGACTCCAGCCTCAGTCCACTCCTTGTGAAAGTCCCCAGCACTTTTGAATGGCCTTTTCCTGACAATCCTCTCCAGGCTGCGGTCATCCCTGCTGTGTGTGCACCTTTTTCTTCAACACGTTTCCCTTCCACATAACTTTCTATTAATGTGCTTTGATACAGCACTTTGGGAACATCCAACTTCTTTTGCAATTACCTTTTGCAATTACCTTTTTGAGGCTTTCCCTTCAATGATGGTTTTCTGCACAACTGTCAGGTCAGCAGTTTTTCCCATGATTGTGATTCCTACTGAACCTGAGACCATTTAAAGGCTCAGGAACCCTTTGCAGGTGTTATGGCTTAATTAGCTGATTAGAGTGGGACACTTTGAGCCTAGAATATTGACCCTTTTCACAATATTCTAATTTTCCGAGATTGTGGATATGGGATTTTCATGAGCTGTAAGCCATAATCATCTCAATTATGCCACATCACGGCTTAACTATCTTGCTTTGCATGTATCTCATATATTTGGTTCACCTTTTAAGTTGCATTACTGAAATAAATGGACTTTTGCACGATATTCTAATTTTTCGAGTTTCACCTGTAAATGGATCAGACTTTGCTAATGCTTGCTTAGAAGACTACTAAAAAAATCCCAGGACAGTAGCCAGATTGGGAATTTGGGGAAAAACCATCCTAGAAGAAAGCAAACCACCTTTGTATTATTGCCCAGAAACTACTTGGCTGTATCCATATGATCACTAGGAACAGAGAACTGCAATTATGGAATGATTTTTGAAGACACTTTTTAAAATTAGGAATACAGTACGGGAAAAAAGGTTCTACAATGGATGTTTTCCTAAATCTATATAATAAATCCTGACTTAGAAATGTCATCAGCCTGTCATGCTGATGTCAGTTTAGATGCCACAGTTTAAGAAAGATTCAGAGAAGCTAGAAGAGTTCTGAGAAGGGCAACAAAAGCGATGAGGGATCGGGAAAGTGTGACCTATAAAAGAGTTGAAAGAGTGCATACGTTTAATCTTGAGAGAGATCACTCTGTAGAAGCATTTTTCAACCAAGTACAGATAGTTCTTGACTTATGACCCCAATTGAGCCTAACATTTCTGCTGCTACGCGAAACATTTGTTAAGTGAATTTTGCTCCATTTTACGACCTTTCTTGCCACAGTTGTTAAGTGAGTTACTGCAGTTGTTAAATTAGTAACACTGTTGAATCTGGTTCCCCCACTGACTTTGCTTGGCAGAAGATTGAAAAGGGATTACATGATTCCGGGACCCTGCAACTGTCATAAATACAAGTCAGTTGCCAAGCATCTGAATTTTGATTACATCACCACGGGGATCCTGCAATGGTTGTAAGGCTAAAAAACAGTCATAAGCCCCCCCCCTTTTTTTTAAAGTGCTGATGTAACTTTGAACAGTTATTGAATAAACTGTTGTAAATCAAGGACTATCTGTAGAAGGTTGTCACCTACAAGAAGTTCAGGATTTATTTCCACTTATTTCTAGAGTTCAGGATGAGAAATAATGGATTTAGATTACAGAGTAGCAGATTACAAAATCTATATTGGTAAAGTTTGGTGCTGTCCTTCATTGGACATATTTAAGAATTTATACCAGTGGTGGGATTCAAATTTTTTAACTACTGGTTCTGTGGGCGTGGCTTGGTGGGCGTGGCTGGGGAAGGATATTGTAAAATCTGTAAAGTCAGAAGTGGTCTTTACCGGTTTTCTGAACTACTCAAAATTTTCGCTGCCGGTTCTCCAGAACTGGTCAGAACCTGCTGAATACCCACCTCTGATTTATACATACATCTATGTGGGATATTTTAATCTGTTTTTCTGTACTAAGTAGGAAGTTGAACTCAATGACCTAAAAGGTCAGTGTCCACCTCTGTCCCTCCATGAGCTTTGAATGTATTTCATCTGTAGGGCCAAGGAGAGAAAATAGATGGAGGTTTAAGTTTTCTTCCTCCCACTTGCCATTTGAAAGGAAATTGCTGAATTGATTTAAGCAGCCATTGTACCTGTTGATAAGCAGAATGCTCTTCATTGGATTGTGTGTGATTCAAATGGTTGTAATGTATTCCAAATGAAATTACAGAGATAATGCCGTGCTTTTCATTTGATGGAAATCTTGGCTTTTGCTGGAAATCCCTACAGCTGAATTGTTCTTGTCAGGCTTTTCTTCCATTCTTTTTGCCTATATCAGATTAGATGGAAGTCGTAGTTTCTTAGAGCTCTCTGTTTCCAACTACATCTTATTTCTTTTGAATATTATTCTTTCTCGTTTCTTTATACTCACTTCTTTTCTTTTTCTTTCTTCTTTTTCATTCTCTCCTTTATTTGTTGCTGTGGTCTTGAAGGCCTTCCTCCATACTGCCTGAATTATGACAGCACGTTTCCTCTGATTCTTCAAAACTTTGTTTTGAAAGAAAGAGTATACTGAATTTTATTGTCAAACCTCCAATAAAGCTACTTATCTTATTTGAGAGTATGGCTTCTCAAAAGGGCAGAAACTGCCCAGACTGTTTTTTTTTTACAGGACATAGATTTATTTTTGGCATCTAATAGGATATCTAATTAATCTTTGGTATTGAAATGTCAGCTTGATCTTGAGAGACTGTACCTGCACAATTTGCCTTGAAATTTTGGTATCATATTGAAGAGAAGTTAGAGCAAAAGAAAGGAAGCTTACTAGCATTATTGTTGAAGATATTACAATTTTTCATTCTCATAATGTAACACAGAACACTGAGATTGTGCCTTGCAATTCATCATGCCCATATAAGGCAGATCAGTCCTATAATTAAGATCTCATCTTGGATTGTGACATTGATAGGCTTAGCTCCAGATCACACCTCTAACCCAACTGTTGTGCTTGGACTACATGTCGAAGAGTCACCTTTGGAAGGAGAAAGATCCGAAACTGATTGTGTCTATATAAGCAACCATTTCATATTGTTCCATCTTCTCTTCACTCCCCAAAGAGTATATAGCAGGTCAATATAGAACAGGCACAGCCTAATTGGTTTTGTTGCTTTGGTATGGTCATGTACATATTATATCAACCTATTTATGATACTTCAGTGTGACTCATTTAACAACCATTGTAAAAATGGTCATAAAATTGGGTCCAGTCACGTGCTGACCCTCTTAGTGACTGAAATTTCAGTCCCAGTTGTGATCATAAGTTAAGGACTACCTACCTCAAAGGGAATAGGTTCACTATTTTGCAGTTGTGCACCTTGTTTATAGGATTACAG